ATAATTATTTAATAAATATAAAATAATTATTACTTTTTAAATTGTAACCCTTTAAACGCCAGTTTGTTTGTCCATTGCACCAGCTGGACGACAACCTCAAATCTTGCAATTTTATATAATTGCATTGCTACTGAAATTTCTTGTATTATTAATAGTAGAGTCTGGGGCATGTAATTGATTCTCATCAACATTGATTATAATGGATTGTTATTTTTGTGCAGAGAGAGCAAAAACATAAAAACTCCCTCTCAGCTTGTTCGTGGCCAAAAATGGCCACCCCTTGTTTACATTTACAAAATGCTATAAAATTCATATATTAAGAAAAATTTCCAATTTTTTTTACTTGATTTTTTAGATTAGCATCAGTGCTGTTCATCAAGACCAAAATTTCATTCAAATTCAGAATTTTAACCCTTTAAATACCAGTTAGATCACATAATCCTAGGAACTCATAAATGGAAAAAATCATAAAACCCCATTTTTTCCCCCAAATAAAACATGCCATCTGATTTATTATCTACCCATGGTGGAGGTTAGATGTATAGCAATAATTAACAGTATCAGTGACTTTTATACATCTTTGTTTTTTTGTGCAGTGACAGAAAAACAGAAAAACTCCCTCTCAGATTGTTCGTGGTGGCTAAAAATGGCCACCCCCTGTTTATGTTTACTGAATACTATAAAATTAATATATATTAAAACATTTTTCTACTTTCATTGACTTGATTTTTTAAATTAGCACCACTTTTAGTCATGAAAACCAAAATATTATTCAAATTCAGATATTATACCCTTTGAATACCAGTCAGATTACGTATTATAACTACGCTTTTGGGGGAAAATAGTAATAAAGTTCACATTTTTTAGCATATGAATGATGAAACCTAATATTTTTTTTTATCATTATTGCAGGTCAGTAACAGTAACAGTAACAATGATTGGGGGGGTGAATGGCCAAAAAGAAAATCACAAATGGTGTGTTAGTGGCCAGAAAGACAATTTAATGACCAAATAGCCACTGAAATTAGAAGTTGTTTCCGGCGGGACAAAGACATCGTATCCCAAGACATCCAGGAGATTGGAGAAAAGAGCCAGCAGCCGTCAGTTAGTTTTCCTTCAACAACTTGAGGTGCCAACATCCTCTCTAAGTTATCTAAGCTGTATTTGTGTCTATTGTAGTCCAGGATTGCTTCTTGTTTCCAGGCATCCTCTATTCCCCATCACTGACTGCTGGTTCCTTGTGTGTTGCTGTCAAAAGAAGCGCATTCCTCCGTTGCTTTGGGATGTGGGATATTGCCGTGGTAGTTTTGGTGAAGCCAAAGACAGACAAAATCTTCCTCTGTTCCAACTGGAGGAGTGGGGGGGGGGAGCTCTGGGTTGTTTCCCCTGTGCCAGTTTTCATTTGAGGAGTGACCAAGACATTGTCCTCGGAGCTCCTCCGTCAGTTGGAGTCTGAACCCCTTTCCCTTTTTTACTTCCTGAGAACTTCCAGTGTTGTCATCCAACATGCTATGTATTGCTTTATTCTGGTTTAGGCTCACATCTCCACTTCATCTATAATCCTCCAGTCCTCACACCTTCGCCTCCCGTGCAGGTTTGTAAGGGTGCACAGCAGCTAAAAGATCTCCTTTGTTATAAAAAAGTCAAAAGTAGATCTCAGGCTGCTAATGCAGGGAACTGCATACAGGGTGAGCCCTGGTTTGATACCAGTGGGTACTGGATTGTAGAGCAGTCTCTCTTCAGTGGTGGGACCCACATGGTTTTCCTTTCATGAGGGATCCACTCAGTCACCGGCTCCTCGGTCTCAGAAAATGCTCCTATGTTCTTTTCCATCAGCTGCTCGGCCTCCACCTCCATGCCCCCAACCCCAATCCTCCCCCAAAGAAGAGGATTCAGGCACTGGCTAGTACTCATCATCAGTGGTGATGCAGTCAGCCTCTTTGGAGATTGTCCCCTCATCTTCTGGAGAGGAAGTTTCTTCATCTTGGGCAGATGTCTTTTCTTCAAGGGCAGAGGACTGCTTGCTGTCCTTGCTCTCTGACCAGATCATATAGACAGTGCTTGAAGCAGTGATGACCTTCTTGCCATATTGGCAGAATAAATGATCTGGAAGCTGTTAGGCTTACTTTCAGCAGTAGCTCTGTCTACACCTGCAGAAACTCCAGGACACGTTTACAAACAGTGTTTGTCGTTGTTTGTGCTGCAGCTGCAGCTTTGAACTCTACAAAGTGTCCTGTAATTAGGTTTCTTTTTTGGTTTTTGGTTTTTTAGAGTTATTTTGGGTATGGCATCTTTTTATGAAAAATACAAGAGTAAAAGTGCTTTTAACATGTGCTTCAAAGCTAAGTTTGACTGGGAACCTCAAAGCTCAATATCCTGCATCCACAGAAATTCACTGCAGCCTATGTAATGTTTGATGCGTCATTATTTATTCCAGTCTACGTCAAAATTGTTTCATTATTTTGGTCCATTGGAGTGTGGTAGGCCATCAAATGCCGCTACTAGAAACTCGGAATATTACATGAAATTGCTTGCTTGGCCAAAAATGGGTAAATGATGTAATTTGGTTAAAAAAAAAAAAACATTAAAAACTACAATTTTCATGTGTTGAGTTTAGAATGAAAGCAATTTTACCTAAACCGCATGTTATAGTACTGTCAATAACAAGGAATCAAAAAAGATGGTTATAATGGGTTTCAATTGGCCAAAAATGGCCACGATAGAGTCAAGAGGAACAATTTGGTGTATAGTGAATATTATTGACATTATTAAAGGAGGGAAACCCTCACAAAAAACGGATAGAGCTGTGGAGCAGCCAAGGGAATAGACTGAATTAAAAATTACCTCACTAAAATATAATTTATTATACAAAAACAGTTAAAAATGTAAAAGGAATTAAAACAACCCTGGCCAGGGAAAACACACAATAAAAATCAATAAAACACAAACATTAAAAGTCCAGTGGCGTCCGCCACGGCGTAAAAGTCACTAAAAGTTAAAAATCCAGCCAATCAGAGCAGAAGGGGAAACCCGGCGGCGTCCTCGCCGTCCTATCAGTGTCTCTGCTTCGGCGTGCCCGGATGGGCAGAGCTCTTAATTCTGCCCGCCGCTTTCCTGTAGCACGCCAATCGGCACCAGCCCGTCTCGCCGTGGGAGGTAGGGCGCTGTCCCGCTGCCCCTGATTCCCCACCGTAGCGCGATCTGGCCTCGTTGCTATTCCAGCAGCAGAACAGCTCCCTCCGCTTCTCTGCTCGCTGGCGTCGTATGCTCTCCCACGTATAAAGTAGTGATGGAGCTTTACTTAAACATTTCTTCAGCAAATCTACAACACAGAGGCTTCTTCACATTCACACTTTGTGACATAACAGCGGTCCTCTCCAAAGCAAGTGTTCCTCAAACAGTCCTTTGGAATTCAATTCAAAATACAAATCTGTGTATATAAAAGCCATTGTGGCTTGTTTCTAAGCTTTGATTCTTTTGGGGAAAGAAAATAAAAAGAGAAGGAAAATAAAAGGGAAAAAGAGCCTGCATTTTAAAGCCTCATTAGTGTGGTTCCCATGTAATTCACCCCCGCCTCATCGAGCAACTAAATGTCACTCCTTTCTCCTTCCCTGGAACTTACACAAAACTTGATTTTTATTCTAGAAGACTCTTTAACCCTCCGCTGCATAGCGTTGCCCTGAGGCAACAAACCACATGTTCATGCCTTACACTGGCCCTTCAAAAAACAAAACAAAACAACCTTTTTTTTTTCTTCAAATAATGCTACATCTCTTTCCAATAAAATGATGAGTTGAAGGTGGTGTGACTTTCTGCAAGCTGCACTACAAGCGACATCTCCATTAGGAGGCAAGATAAAGATCACAATTTTACATGTTTATAGTGAAATAAATGTATATAAAAATACTTGTATGTGCATGAATATGTTAAGAAGCATATTTGAATGTTTGTTCTACTTTTTAAATTTTATTTATACAGCAAAACTGTTCATTTTCATTCGTTGCCTCAAGGCAACACTGTGCGGTTAGCCTATTTTTTTTCAGGCAGTATAATGCATCTGCATATGTGTGTAGAGATGTATTTGGGTGTATTTATATAATCATAGTCAATGTTTTTTACTTTACAATCTACTCATAATTACAGGACATGAATGTAAAAACCTTTTATGGAAGGAAACTGCACTTTCTGTCCTCAGAAAGTGAGGGCAGTGAGCTTTCAGGGAGTGACAGTAAAGTAGTGGATCCCTGAATCAGGTTTGAGGGACACTTAGTTGGTCAGTTGGTAAAGTAACTGTGTCTGTGGCCGTGTATTACTTATTGTTGTTGGGACACAAATTTGTTTACACACTCACATTGTGCGGTCTTGCAAATTGTAACACAGCAAAATCTCCAGTGTTAAATTAACACTAGAGAGTGTGTATATGGGTCCACTCCTCTGAGTGTTAAATACAACACTGTTGAGTGTTAAATGAACACTTTTGACAGTGTTATATTTTTAAAAGTAACCTAGTCAGTTTTGAAGATTAACAATGACTGACACTGAGCAGTGCTGAAAATAACTCAAAATGTTAGAAATATTCCAGTTGTGATGGGAAGGGCCAGGATAAGTCTCCAGGAAATGAATGTAAGTTAATGTAATGTCCCCAAAAGGGATGGAAACACAACATGTGTGTGTGTGTTTGCGCACGATCATGGGGTTAGGGTCAAATGTGTCAAATTTTATGATTGATATATTATTAGGGGCCCTAAAGCTCCCCCAAAATGAGAAATGTTTTTTTCCCAAAAAATTAAAAAGTCATGCAGTAGAAGGTTAAAAACAGTGAAAAACAAACAAACAAACAAACAAACAAACAAACACAAAAACAACAACAAACAAATCACATTTTAAGAGATTAGAGGAAACTTTATATTGAAAACTCAAACTTCTTAAAAGAAACCGTCACCCAAATTTCAGCCCTGGGGCCAAATCTAAAACCAGTTTTAATATATAAATATATAAATCTTATACACTAAACTGCAAAGAAGAAAACACAGTACTTTATTATCAGAAGACAATGCCTTGATTGTACATTCACAGCTGAAGTCAGTACAAAAACATTTGCGTGGGTGGGTGCTAGTCCCTTTGAAAAACATCACTGATAGCAAAGTGGTCCACTTTCTTTAAAAGTGTGTCCACTAACACATGATGTGAAGATATAGCTACAAGAAATTAAAAAATGACAGACGAATCAGATTACGGAAAATCTTAAAATAATCATAACTTTTTGTAAAAACGCCATTTGGCTCCTGGCCTAAAGAAATATTTGCTCACAGTGACGCTGCTTATACCGAGCACGCCAATTCCCCTAAACCAGTCGGTCCTTCACACCAATTGGTTCTTTGGAAATTTAAGCACATGGTTATCAGCGCTCAGTCGTGCATTCTGCAAACCGTCCTGGCTGTAAAACCTCAGAGATGACTCAACGTGGACTCATGAAGATTTCCCAACAGATTGTTTTCAGAATCACTGGATCGTATGACGTTTATAAGATCACTGAAGTGAGTAACGGAAAACTACAGACTGAATTTCTGGATGGTTAAAAACTCGTCATCATTACTACATCCTAGAGTGTTCCTCCTCCACAGCTGCGTCACGCCACCAAATACTAAAAGGCAATTATTAATTCTTGTCTTATGAAGAGTCTTACAGGACGCCCACGAAATTGGTTGCATAAAAATTTTGCTTAATAGTTTTGTGAGAAGCTGATGTCACACATGAATACTTTGGTTTCTTTCACAGTGGAGGTGGAAAAAGAAGAAGAAAACTCCAGAAACAAATAGTCTCTTAATCAGTTATTCAATGTGAGAAACACGTATACAGAAAATATATAACAACTTCACACAGGTGCACAAATCCAGCGTTCAAAACAAGTTGAAAAAACAAACTGCAGCAATCCAGTGATGTTGTCAAATGTGACAGTGAACAGCTACCTCAGTACATTCATCCTCAGAGACACATTTGGTCCGTCTTTCAGGCAGAGAGCAGAGAAAAAAAACACTCTTGATTACAGTCTGTGTGGAAATGTGAAACACGTAACTGAGTAACAGCACGGTTTCTGCAGAACATTCACCCAAACGCTCAACCTGCTTTGTGATGGTTATTTTCCTTTTTAAATAATGACCGTATCAAAAACTAATTAAAGCATGTTTATCTACCCTGACATGAATGAGACCAATCAGCTGACTTCCCCATAGAGACGGGCAGTGTTTAAAGGTACCCTTTAAAAAGAACAACCTTTGACATTGTTGGCTGTGGGCATGCTTGAGGAATACAGCCATTACTTTAGTGGAATGGATGGTACAAACAAAGTATTGATGGATTTGGGATCCTTGATGCTTTGGCTACGTAGGCTTGATGCACAGACCATAAAAAAATCAAAAACTGAGCAGCAGCAGTAGCAAGGACAAGTTTTTAAATTCTTATTTTGCTAAATGACAATAACGGATTTTAATCACACCGTGTTTAGAGGACTTCAGTGGCCATCAGGACAGAGCGAATGCTCATGTTGTCTGCTCTGAGGCTGGAGAACAGGGATTCCTAGCAGTAATTCAGATGTGTTGAGAAGTACAGACCCGCAGTAGGCAGATCTCCTTCAGCTGATAGTGCTCTGCCTTTGAACATTCCAGCAGGTGCCACTACTTTCCTGCCTAATCCAGGTCCATGATGTGCTCGGCAACAATGTCCATGGCTGCCGAGGCCTTGATGGAGCTCCCTGCTGAGCCAGAGTCCACAAACATCTGTGGTATGTCGCTCCCAAAGTAGATTTTGCTGTTGGCTGCGATGGCCTTGTATTTCATCAGCTGCAGGTACTCTGGTGTTAGCTTGAGCTGTGAGAGGGAGCGACAGGATTCCAGTGAAGGAAGGTAATTTTGCAGCCCACATTTGTCAACCACAATATGTGTTTGTGTCTTTACCTTATTGGCCTCAGCCGCTCGCTGAGCCGTGTAGAACTCCGCATCAGCCTTGGCTTTCTGCCGGGCCAAGAAAGCACCGTCTATGAACCACAAACACAAACTCATATGAATCATTAGCGGCATGGCAGTTTAACAAAAACTCTACCGTAGGCGTCAGAGAGCGGGAAGCTGGAGGATTTTCTGCAAATATGTATTTGACCCAACCGCTAACTCCCAAATGCAGCAGCCAAAACAAATGCCCTTGGAAAAGAGCAAACATGTGGCAGTACTTACTGCTGAGTTTTACACTTTCCATTATCAGATTTATAAAACTGTACCTGTACCGTACTCACAATGCAGTTCACTCGATGGATACAGAATGACGATATAAGTGACTGCATGTGCTCTGAGTATTTGAGAAACTGCTGGGATTTTCCCAACACAAGCATCTCTTGTGTTTACAGAAAATTGTTTGAAAATATCCAGTAAGCCTCAGTTATCTGGGTGAAAATGCCATCAAGAGAATAGCAAGACTGATTTGAGTTGATATGAAGGCAACAGTATATCAAATAACAACTTATACCCAATATCCAGGGTATGCAGAGGAGTATTTCAAAACACAGAGCGTGTCCAGCCAAGATATCTGCATCTGGGCTACAGAAACAGAAGACCACACTGGGTGTCACTCCTATCAGCTAAGAACAGAAAGCTGAGGCTAGACGATTAGAAAAACGTTGCCTGGTCTGATGAGGCTCCATTTCTGCCACCGCATTTGAATAGCAGGGTCAGAATTTGGCAATAACACAGTAAAAGCATGTCTCCCTCCTACATTGTATCAATGGTTCTGACTCATGCTGGTGATGAATGAATCGTTTCTCCTCGCTGAATGCAAAGCACCACAATCACTCTTCTTTCTTCTTCCTTCACTGCTGGATACAAACCTTCAATCTCAGAGATTCTTTTTTCCGTTTCCTTCTCCATGACTTTCTGTCCAAACTTGATTTCTGCAACTTGAGCCACTTTCTCAGCCTCTACAACAAACAAAACAAAACCCCAAAACATCCAAGCATGTTAGCACGTTGAGTGCAAATAACTCGTCTCTGAACAAAGCGCTCTCAACACGACAGTCTCGCTTCAGTTTCTCACCTATCACCGCTTTAATCCTCTCCGTCTCTGCCTCCTTCTCCACAACCTTCTGTGTCTGCTGGGAGATCAGCAGCTTGGTCTTCTCGCTCTCCCTGCGAACATGTTAAAGAGCAGTTAATAAAAAAACAAAACAAAACAAAAATGCTTTAACTGAGAGCTACATGTGACTTCTGTGTGCAAGCTTGACTTTGGGAGCTGCTTGCTGCCGGATGTCTGTGGTTTGTTTCAATATTAACTTCCACAGAAATCAACATCATTACCAAAGAAGCTCCAAGGTTTGTGGAAGGGCATGACACAGCACTCAGACACTGGCAAAGGAGCTCAACCCTGCGTCTGCCCCCACAACTTTCCAAACCTTTATCTCAAATCTGTTATTCTGGCATCCAAACCACGTCTTGCAGCAAAATTCCTCAGCCTGCACACTAATTCTCTGTTTTACCTTCAGCCTCAGAGGAGCCACTAGTGTCCACTCAGGAGACTAATGACTAATGCCTTTCCCACAGTCTGGACTGCCTTTTGTAACACTATGATCTCAAGTTTCAAATTCCCGATATTTTTATTACTGTCCAGAACAAAAACCAAAACGAAGTCTGTCGTGGAAACAAAACTGAAAGAAACACGTGAATCGAAGATCTAATTACCCTCCACAAACAGCAGTTATAGAGGAAAACAGGATAAAAAGCCTGACTTCCTGTGCTGCTGTCTAAACAAAGTACCAGAAATACAGATGCTACTGCCTCCCACAGGTCAGAAAGGTACGAATCTAACAAAGTGAAAGTAGCGATACTGGAGACTTATTTAAAAAGGAATCAGTTTATTACAAGAGACTAGATTCTTATCAAGCTGTCGAAGTACACAGCTCACTGTTGTGGCTAGTGTGAACATTTCTTCATAATTTTACGCACGCACACACGCACTCATGCATGCATGCATGCACTCTTTGCTTAAATAGATGTGAGTTACTGCAGAGCCCTTGGCTAGAGCCGTTTCCCTTCTGGGTCCAGTTTTTCCATGACTGCATCAACGAGTTGAAAAAAACGTTGGTTTTAATCCGTGCAGCTTTTTAACTCTTACACACACATCACTGCTTAACCAAGAACCTCCACTTTTTAGAAGGTCAGAAAAATAAAACTCACTTTTTTAGGCTCCCACCCAAAAGGTTTTATCAATCGAACTCCTCAGCAGCACAAGCTTGTTTTGGCTGCTCCCTTATTCAGAAGCGCCACGGCAGGTAGAGCCCCATGTTTGAGTTGGAAGACTTGGATGCTTCACAGCTCTACGGTGTATCAACACATTTGCCTTTCATAAGAAACATCACTGAATAGAGAATCAGATCAGAGGTGTTGTGTCAGAAAGAGCATCTGGTGTGTAAAATTAATTTAAAAAAATAAAATAAATAAATGAGACGAATCAAAAATATGTTGCGTTTCCATTGTAGTGACCGCATGTGAATAAGAGAGGAGCTCCCAATAAAACTCAGAGCTTCAGCTCTGCTTTCCCTCCACTCACAGGTTGATATGAATGCTGTACCTACATCGGGGCAAAAATAGCTGATTTACTGCTTATTCTACCTCCGTTCTCTCACTTATGGCCAACGTAGAAACCACAGTTTCTATTTTGTCAGTATGCACAACATGGGCGTCTGAGTGCCGTAAACTTTGTAAGAACCTGAAGGAAAGCAGCAAACAAGTCCACGAGCACACCGATGATTTTTTTTGTGACCACTCAGCCTGTCCATGTGACACCAAACACACACGCATCCTTCACACAGACTCCAAGTGGACAACAGCTCACCTGTGCCGTCTGTAGGAGCGTACACCACCAGCATGAGGTCAAGAGTTCAGTTGTGTGTTTTTTCTTTTAGTTGTGCTGGTGGCAGTGGGTCACAGTTACACAGTTTTCCATGTAGTAATGAAAGAATATAGAAATCTGTTTGAATGTCGTGCTATGGAATGTTTAACAAATGTAGTGAGTAAGTGATGGTGATCACATATGCAGGTCTACACATGATGTTCTGCTCTGATGGATTTAGGGTCATTAGTACTGTTGTGATGATTTAAAGTAGTTTGTTTTATGGTCAGAGTGAATGTGGGTGCTCACTTCACCGCTGTGGATCTTCTGCTACATGTTCACACACAACAGATCTCTGTGAATTATTCACTTTTCTACAGTTGCGTTGAATGTTTGCCATCGCCTCGCATAGAGAGCTTAAAGGATCTTCATTTAAGCATGCTTTCCCAGTAAGACAAGTCAGAGTTACACATAGTATTGTGTAATAGAGTAAATGCACCCACGGGTAACAAAGACCAGATGACTAAGTACCATCTAAATTCTGTCCGTTATGTAACAACATATAGGCGTCCATGGAAGACTTAAGTGTATTAAATTATTTAATTTCAAGTTATTTTTTTATATTCTTCTCATTCAATCCTTATAAACATCCCCAAAGGAGAAGTCTAGAAGAATCATATTATTTTTTCCTCCCCATTTCATATTCCTTGTGGAATAATTAGAAGAAAAACAAATCAAAAAACAAAACTCACATAAGCTCGTAGTTCCGGCGAATGCTCTCTGGGATGTTGGGCTTTGTGACACGGACCGCCTGTGGATAAACGGGACAGGAAAAACATTCAGATGGAATGCAACGACCAACAAGACCATAAAAAGAGCTTTTTACCACCAGAGAAGCTCCTGCTGGAGAGGAGCCCAGGCCCAGTGAAGTCCAGTTTAAGAACTCTCAACCGAAACTGTTATTTCAGCAGTTCCTGTTGATTTAGAGTAACCATGTGTGGAGGAGTAAAGCCCAGTGAAGCCCTTAACACTCCGGACTGACACATGGCTACACTGATGAGTGCAGTGAGGAGGTGAATTAACAGTGGGGAAGAAGAAAAAAAAAATCATCAGGCTCCCTTGTAACTTCAAAGAAACACTGTTTTGTGATTTGATCCAAACTATGGGAGAGAGCCTTTGTAAATCAATTTTATGGACTGAAGACTGGGTTTAATTAGGCTAAAATTATCATGTGTAAATGATTACAAATGTGTAATGTTCCTCTCTGTCACCTCATTTGAGCTTTCCCTTTATTAGAACAAGAAAACATTTGGCACTTTCCAAAGGAATGATTCAGAGTCAGACCCCCTGCTATCCAGATATTCAGTCAGCATTCAAGATCAGAAAAGGTCGACAGAGGATGAATAATAACGCCCCTCAGGGAACTTCACCTAAACTGAAAGTGAAAGCATCCAAGCTAAAAAAGACAACACAAAGCCTCTAGTGTCTTTTTTATATAATATGTGTACTCTAAAAACATTAAAATCAGGTTTGGGGTTGAACCAATCTGAACTTCTTGGAATAACTAAATTCAGTCCTTTATAATAAATATCTACAGGTCAGAATTTGATTCACAAATGTGATCCATGTTTGCATTTTGTTTGACTCAGACAGCTCAGTTGTATAATAAACTAGTGTTTCATTTCCCAGACGAACTGTAATTTCTGTTGCATCAGTAACCTAGGAATAACTCTCGCTGGTGCTCTTGGCAACCGTTAGAGTACACAGACACCACTCTAACATGTGTCCAGCAACAAAAACAAGGAGAAAGCTAAAGCAGCACAAAGGCTGGAAGTGAGATTGAACATCTGGCACTGACTGTTTTTCGGAGGAGTTCTAGCTGCACCAGCATGATTACATTTTGCTTCTTCTACAGAGTAAGCAAACAAAATGAAGATCTTAGGAAGGTTAAGCAACAGCAATTTTAAAACGGCTGACAGATCTACAGTCAGGCCTTCTTTATAATGTAAATAAACTCTTTTAACCAAGTTATCTTATCAACACAGTCTTACTCAGTCACAAAGGTATGCTAATTAACAAGGCATGCAGAGACTAAAGCCACAGCTTCCACTTTAATGAAGACATAATAACATACAGTCCTGGTCAAATGTTTAAGACCACTTGAATGGCAACAAAAAAAAAATATTTTGCTTGCTTTAAAAGGTCAAATCTGTGCAAAAATGTGGATTCATTGTCATTTTCTGTCAGATAGTCACGCTGTCATGACTGTCCGTCAAGACACTGGATCCTCAGCCCAAATTAAGGCTGTTACCGGTGCCGACTGCAGCCCCATAACCATGAGACGGCATCTGAGACTGAAGGGCTTCAAAGACAAAAAATGTCTTCAAAGGCCTCGCCTCCTTGAACGCCACAAAACTGACTGTTTGGACTTTGGAGGAGAGCACCAAACATGGGTCAGTAAAGTTGGAAGAACATTTTATTCTCTGCTTTTTCCTTCAGTGGAACAATGAAGCTTGAGGAGGTGCAGGGGTGTCAAACATGTCCAGATGTCACAGAGAGCATCCCTCATGACTGAGGGCCCTCGTCTTTGTGTTAACGCCTGTGTTTTTCACCAGGACAACGCTACAGTACACAATGACTGCAGGACAAGGGACTTCTTCCAGGATAATAACATCACTCTTTTGGACCATTCTGCTTGTTCCCTTGATCTAAATCCAATTGAGAGCCTTTAGAGATGGATGGCAAGTGAAGTTTACAAAAATGAACAACAGTTCCAGACAGTAGATGCCCTTCATGCTGCCGCCTTCGTCTTCATCTACCACTTGGTGAAATGTTCCCACTCACCTCATGGAAACACTTGCATTAAGCATGCCGCAACTAATTTTTGAAGTGAAAACAAAAACGGTGGAGCTGCTCATTACTGAGTTCGTGTTTGGAACTTTTGAGGGGCTTACAGGGTTTTTTGGAGGTGTGATCCTAAACTTTTGATCAGCTGTAAAACAGCCTGTTTCAGTTTAAGTGTTTTTTTTTTCTCAATATATTGCATGCTCAAAAAATGTTTTGTCACACTCCCATTTCTTCTTGTTGCATGTTGAAGCTCTACTTGGAAACGTGTTAAGATCCAACCATGCAAAATATGACTTTTTAACATTTTTCAAGTGGTCTTACACTGGATCGGGACTGTATGATGAGACATTATGATAAGAGATCACAATGTGGATCACAATGTTAGCATAATATAAGCTGACTGATCCAGAGCAGGTAATGTTTCCATGTACATGATGTACATGGAACAGAGTCTGAGAGAGGACAGAGGAATATGCAAACCTGTAGAGCTGTGTTTTACTATACTGTAGTATGAGTATATGTTGGAGCAGTAAGAACTGCACATTACTACAAATGACCATGCACTTAATTAGTAATGTAGAAAAACTTTTTAGACCTGATTTCTAAGTCTGGTCTAGACTTTAAGGCTCAGTAGGGTTTATTGGTATTCAAAGGGTGTACCCGATCATGCATTCCCCATTATCTCTCATTGAATCTTGGGTTTTGTCGAGTCAGCTAATGCAAAGAAAGCCCTGTTGTGTGGTACACCCTGTGCTGTCAGCAAACTGGAACTGACAAAGCTTTGACCTCATATTTACAATCACACTGAACTTCATTCTGGCCTGGGGTCTGTCTGATCCTCTGCCTTTACCTGAATGATAAGTCCAGGCGCCATGTTTGTTAGATCCTCTTGTAGCGTCAACTTCAGATTTTCATCAATTTGGTCTGTGGCGGAAAAGTGTGCAAAAAAGGCAGGTAAACATGAAAAGCTCTGAAACACGTCTGGCTCTCCAACTGTTAACAATGGCGCCCTGAAGCCCCCGCGCCCCTCACCAAACAGGCCGATGTAGACCTCCTGCAGAGAGTGAACGCTGCAGAACTGGTTGAGTTCGTGGTGAACTTTGTTGAATATCAAGGCTTTGTCATAGTCTGCAGTGAAGTTCCTCACTATGTCATACACTGCAGAGATAGAAGTTTTAAAAATTACATTTTTATATATGGAGTTACAGCTGTCCCAATGATATTAGGATAAACACACTGAGTGGTGAAACGCTGAAATTACCCGCCGATGGAATGAGGTAGTTCACCACTTCTATGCGATCAAAGTAAATCATCACTCCTCCACTGAAAACAGACACAAAAAAGCAGCATTTCATTCAAAAGCTTTTACCCAAACACCAGTGTGAACTGACAGGGGCTATTTTTTTGGTAGTTCAGACACACGTTGGTGAACCTCTGATCCCTGCAGCATTGGAGGTTGTGTGTGGGAGTCTCTATTGTGTCATGATAAATGCTGAGTTTAATAAGGCTCGAAACCACATCTGATACTGCTTAATCCAAAAACAGCAAACTAACCTTGTTCCACATGGTACGTTCTTCACTTCATCTGTCTGCAGCGTCGTCTACGAGATAAAGATCACATATTCGACATGTTGTTTTTCAACACTTCAAACTCCTTTTATTGGTTCCAACATGCTAATAAAAACACTCAACCAGTAGGACTCAGAGGAAACACAGCAACAGGACATCACATTGTAATTATGTACCAGTGCAGCACCACAGAGAGCCTGACCAACATCTCAGTCTGGAATCATTTTGTTTCTCCTCGTAAGCCTAATTAATGTGGTCTTAATTCTAAATACGTGAAGATCATTCCCTGCTAATATCAGGACTCAAGAGCACTCCGTATACATGATGAGATGTGGTCCTGCAGTCTTTGTCTTAACATTACAGAAGATTCAAGATTCAAAGTGTTTATTGTCATGTGTCACAAGAGAAAAGGCATTTCTCTGTGCAATGAAATTCTTTCTTTGCTGTCCACCCACAGATGCCAATTAATATATACAATTTGACTCAACACGGGAAACCTCACCCGGCCCGGACACGGAAAGGATTGACAGATTGATAGCTCTTTCTCTACAATAGAAATAGAAAATATAAATACAAATAGTACAAATAAATAAATGAAGACAGAAATGGAGACAAAATATGGAGGATGAAGGATGACTTGGATGGAAGGATGGGATTATTTAACAAGAGTAATGGACATTTTTTGGTTGTAACACCAAATAACCCCAACTAACAGTGTTTTTGGAAATCATTGTGATGCCACAGTGAATTTGACCTCTAACCTTTTGGACGTAAAAGGGCATCACTTCATCAGTCATAGTCAAAATGTCCTTTGTGAGGTCACTGAGCCCTCAGTGACCTGTGACCACCAAATTGTAATCAGCTCCACCTTCAGTTCAACTCGATGCTTGTGCCAAACATTCCATTAATCCCTAAGATATCATGTTCACAAGGAGGAATGATGAATTACGCCTCCATTCACAGCTGTCATACGCACTCGCCAAAAATGGAAAGAATACACTGCTCAGTGTTTCTCAGAAATATTTATTCTATATCTTTCAGGACGTAGACCGCTATCTCTGCATCATATTTCTGTCTATGCACAGTCATGCAGAAAATAAAGCGCACCCTCTTTCAGTCCCAAAGCTTCATATATAAGGACACAATAAAACATTGATCTGGTCCTGTTCATGCATGTGACATCATTGGAGTCATTGTCCTGCTGCATGACACAATTTTGGCCGAGCTTAAGCTGTCAGACAGATTTGACCCTATGATACTAGGATAGCAAGGTGCCCAGGTCCTCAGCCCCCCACCACCGTGCTAATATGAGGTGTTTTTCTGATATGCTGTGTTTGGTTTTCACCACCTGTGGCACTCTGCATTACATCTCCACTTAAGTCTCATCTGTCCAAAGGACATTTTTCCAAAAGTCTTGCGGTTTGTCCAGTTTCTTGGAACAATATGATTATTACTGAGCTACAAACAGAACGATAACATGCATGCAAAGGCTACCAAAACCATAACCCCCTTGCTAGAAGCAATAATGTTTCACAAATACAGTGGTTTACCTCAAAGCAATTGGGCTGTATGGAAAACAAATAATATCCATGCCCCTAGCTACTAAAGCCAAAACAAAGACAGAACTCAACCTGATAAGTTGCTTCAGCTTTAACAAGAAACTCTTGATTACCATCAGCTGCATTCAAACCACTAATTGCATAAAACTGCATTTTCATTTTTCCCCTTGCCCAACGACTGCAGGTAGTAGCTTGTAGCTAAATCTGATACAAAGCATCTTTGCTTTGTTTATGATTAGCGTATTTTGCAGCCAGTCCCTGAAAAGAAAGAAGAGATCAACAATCAAGAATGAACAGTGTATGAAAACATTCTGTAGAGACGAGTGTCTGGATCTGAAAAGAGAAGCTTCTCTCCTACAGGGCTACAAGAAGGGTGGACACTGACACCAGAGACCGAGCTCCAGTTACCTGAAGCATCTGGTTGTAGCTGCTGCTAAAGGTGGCCCAACTTGCTGTTAAGGTCATGGAAGTGATTAATGTTTAACAAAATTTGACTTCACCGTGCTAATCTTTACTCAGACTGCTTTTGTTTGAAACGCAATACAGTTTGAAGATATAACAACTTAGTGTGAAGCTAAACAAAGAGCTTTTCATGTGTCTAATATATTTTCCCATCTTACGTTGCAAGTACACTGTAATCTTCTGGGAGCGGGCCATATAATGGCTTAACCATGCCCACTTATATTTTACAGTAGAGGAGACACTCCTCTGCACACACCTTTTGAAAGTTATGTTTAAACAGTGATTGAGAAAGAAAGAAATCATTTACACTTGGCTTATATGGTCACATAAGACTTTGGTGCAAACATAAGTTTGCATGGGGAGAACAGTCCTCCTCACACGGATATTCATTCAAAGAAAAGAACAATTGAACAACAGAACATCCAGCATTCACATCATCACTCCATAATACAGCCCACCCCATGGAAAGCACAGCATATTTATGACGCAAGGTAAGGAAATATTGTTTGTTTTACTGCAAAATCACCGTGAAATTGTTTACTTTTGTGTTACCAATAACAGTATGACATTAATAATATTTATACTCCTTTTATTTATTTTGTATCCCACAGACAAAATGTGACATAAAGCGAGTAATGTTCAGATTATTAACCTGAGAGTTCCAATAAAAGGACCGGCATGACTCACCTGCACAGACTTGTATGTGGTGATGAAAGGAAGCATAAGATGGAAACCAGGACCGCTGGTGGTGGTCAGGAGAGCCCCTCCCCTGTGTGACACACAGTTAGAATCAGTAAAATCATTAAAACAAAAAACTTCCAACCTCAAATTAGAAACATCAACCTAGAAATTTTCCAGGCTTCAGAGGACTCATTTGTGTAAAGAGCTCCAATTAAACAGGAAAAATATGCAATGAACCAATTATTTACTGCATGTCCATGCAAGTGATGACATCAAAATATCCTGAAGCTAAGATGGCTTATAATAGCTAACAGCTGGTAATTACAGTGCTCACCGTGGCACAGACAAGATGCTAAAAGCAAACTGATCTGAAGCAGGTGCTTGATTCTGGAAAGTTGTGCAACAGAGGAGTGTAACGCTAATCTCCCACATAACAAGTAAAACAGCTCACCTGTAGTAAACTCCAGTGTGCCCCTCATCAATCTTGTGCACAGAGGCCAACAGCGCTGCTCCACCAAGAGCAGCAATTATTGAGAATACGGCACCCCACTGTGCCATCCTGGCAAGAAGACAGGAGAGACAGCATGTGAAAATAATGAGCAGATGGAGCTTCTCTTCTGGTGTTTTCACACCGACGGTCCTAATTACAATCAAATGCTCACACAATCATCCAGCTACATGTCGCAGAACAACTGTCTATCCTGCCAGCGGGCCACAAAGTGCTGCAGTAACACACTGGAGCTTCCTTCTTCCTCACTGGTTTATCTCCTCTCAGCTCAGGCTTAGCCAGACATCAGCTGTGACCTTGTCACACTTAAAGAGGATTGAGCACCGTTGGCCTAGAGACAGCTCAACGCATTGCCACTTAAGAAAACACGTGCAAATAGCCAGAACGCGAGCCAACACAAACTCAAACGCGCCATGGAAGTAGCAACAAAAAATTTTTCCAAGCAAAAAGTTGAATTTGACATTTAAGCTGACAAGCAGCTGACTTCAAAAGTCCTAACGCATTGGAAAAAAACCAAACAACAGCATCCTGGTCTGTTCATAGATTTTTAGTCTATTTGTAGTTTTAATGTGCAACATCTGTCGCCAAATGAATGAAGACATGTTCTTGGCTGGCTGGTGTTTAGTCCATTTTTGTTTGTTTGGTTTTTTAAACTGGAGTATACTGAGCTCGTTTGTCACTGAGTGACAGTGATTCAGAAATTGTTCTCCAGGCTTCCCGAAGGAGATTCAAACTCCTTCTTTCGATGTTTCTGCCTTTTGTTCCGTTTCCTGTTATGTTGATCCCACACTGCTTCAATAAAATTTGGATTCATCACTCCTTAAGGCCTGTTATCACATATTTTCAGTCCAGTCCTTGCGTAATTTGGCAAATCTCTGTCTTTTCTCCCCGTTTCCCTTCCTTCAGAATGGCTTTGACAGCTACCCTCTCACTGAGATCATTTCTGATGCGACCTCAGCAAAGAACTGGTGGGATCAACAAAAGGGCCCCAGGTCCTGTTTCAGGTCTTTGGAGTTTTTCCTTTTTCTGAGGAACATAACTTTCATATTCTGCTCATCTGCATTAGATAGTTTTTCAGGCCTGCTACTTAATCTACTTAATATTTTGTCCTCTGTTTCAGCCAATAGTTCTTTGTGCCTGTAAAACTGTTATCTTTGTCATTTCTCACGCTGCCAGTAACAAAGTGACAAAAGGCAAGAGTTCAATATAGTCTCTGCTCAGTTGTCTGTTAGGTGCAGAAACAACACTGGTTCATCCCTTGAGTTTTCTGCTCAATTGATTCAAGAGTTAAACGGATTAACCAAAAAAAGAACAAAAAGAAGAGAGAGAGAGGGTTTTCTGTTCAGCTCCACCCCCGAGTCTTCAGATCCAGTTTGGAAACATGGTGATAGCTAGTAATGTCAGCTTCACAACAAGACGACACCAACTAGCGAGTGACATAATTAGTTCATTAGCTCTACAGTCTCTGGTTTTAAACTGTGTTACAAATTAATCTCCCCTCCAGTGGTTGTGGTTTTCCAAGTATGACAAGTTGTTTCTGTCTCTACACGCTCAAGCTGTTTCTACAGGATCTTATTTGTGCTGGAACCATTACAGCATGAGAAACAACACCACTCATTTTACTGATGTCAAAAAATCAATGTCTACAGGTTACAGCATGTGGAGGAAAGAAGGCTGGATTCAAACTTACTGATGTGCTGCACACCACTTCTTTCTCAACAGGGCAGTGTTCAGGTGTGTTAATACTAATTAGATATTTAGATATATTAATATAGGATAGATTTTTATATCCAATTGTGGTCAGATGTTTCCATAAAATCATTATGAGCATGAATGTCATTGTAATTTTGTGTTTTTAATTATTTTATTTGAACTGTTCTTTTTCTGGGTGGAAGATTGCACAGTACACATCTTAAGAGAAGAAAAAAAAAAAAAAAATCCATTTTGCATCTTTTTTTGCCTTTAGACAATAATTCTGATGGCAAAAGAGCCAAACGGGAAAAGAAAAAAAAAAAAAAAAAGAGTGTGGTGTACACGTTATTTTTATTTTGGACTTTCTCTAATCCACGAGGCTCACATGTATATACAGGCACACATTTACACATAAAGGCCTGCTTGTATTTGATTTAATGTCTTAAGTAGCACCAACAAGCTTTGATATTTGACCACTTTTCTTGGCAGAATTGGCAGAGTTCACTAAATTGTTAGGCTTCCCGGCACAGACTCGGCTTTTAAACACAGTTTAAAGTTTCCATACTTGAGGTCGAGGCTTTGAGAAAACTATTCCAGAGCATTAGTGCTAGCCTGTTTTATCCGTTCTAAAACAAGTTTTAATGTGTGTTTGGGATCACTGCTCTGTTTCAACACACAGTCGTGTACAACTATTAAACATCTAGCTGCTAATTTGAGGCGGAAAATTTGGAGTTAGCCCCCTTTCTTCATTACTCCATCCACTTTGTGCAGTGTTCCAGTAACAGGGCAGCAAAACAGCCCAAGAACATGATGACACCACCATTCTTGGCAGCTGGTTCAGAAGGTTTTAAAGCCTTGCCTTGACCACTTCAAACATATATTTTGTCACTGTGCTCAAATAACTAAATCTTGTCATTATCTGACCCTAAAACTTTTCTCCAGAAGGCATTTGGCTTGCCCATGTGGACAGCTGCAAATTTCAGTGAAGCTTGCAGGCGTTGATTTGGGAGCATCACTTCTTTCTTGGTCGACATCCTCTCAGTATATGGTGATGTAAAACTGGCTTCACTGGTATTCCTGCAGTTTCTGGACCATGGCAGGCTTGAGTCTTAGTAGTTCCTGAACACCCCATTATGAATTTACTCTCATCTGAGGGGTAACAATTTGCCAAGGTCTGGAAGAAGACTCCAAGTGGTGAAACGTGTGAATAACTCCACCTACGTACAGCTGTTTGAGATGATAATCCTGGAATGGAGACCATCCCAAATTGTGAAATTCTCCTCCTTAGATCTGCACCGTGCTCCTGGAACTGTCTCATTGTGCTGAGTACCGGCGAATACAGTCAGTGCTGTCAAATAAATCCTTTGGCAAAGATAACATACCAGTCATGAGGACTAAATTAAAAGTCCTTGGCCTTGTCAAGTTAAAACAAATTTATGGAAACATCTAAGTGAGTGTATGATGTATTTGAGCCTGCATGTACACTCTTGACCTTGTGTGGATCAACGAAAATCCCAAATAAATTTAAATTTGTGGACCCAACCCTTGTTTTCATACGATCATTAAAGCTGACTGTACAACCATTTCACACTAACAGCTCACTGAAAACTCCAAATTGCATCCAACACATTTATGCCCATGCTGAGTGTGTCTAAACTTGTGACCACAACTGCAAACTTCCTGTTGACTAACTTGACCTGATGGAGCTAGATATGGAGCCATTTCAGCTTTGCTTAGTAAAGATTTGCAGAGATGTAATCTGGTAACCCTGCTAACTCAAATGGCTTTTATAAATACAATACTTAAAAACATATGGAGAGATATAAT